CTCAGGCAAACCAAAACATATGGTCACCCAAATTATATACCAGCTTCTATGAAAACAGCAGTTCATGCTGATTCATGCCCAGCCTGTTAGATCCTAGTTACTTCCAGAATTTTCTTGCACAGGCCAATTATTCTTTATTGTGGATCATTTATGTTTTTTCATTGTTGTGATCCATGTTGAAATTATTGATGAAAAAACAAAACCAAAAAAAAATTATTCATGAAATTTATATTCCTAAAGCACAACACGTAAAAAATGTGTACTCAAGTAATTAGACTTAAAAAAAAATCACCTAAATGCTTTCCAACCTTTTTTGATGTACTGAAATGCACAGTTGTAACCAATGTGTGATGACCACTGTATATATAAAATTAGTGTTAACAATAGGTTCTGGTTTATTGTCTTTTTTTTTTTTTTCCCCTGACAACTGGCCAGTACAGGGATCCAAACCCTTGACCTTGGTGTTATAACACCACGTACTAATCAACTAAGCTAACCGGACAGCCCTACTGTCTTTATTGATGAACCTTTGGGTGTTTCCAGCTTGTGAATAATGGAGCTATAAAGCATCTCAATATAGATTTCTTTTTCTTTCTCCTGAGTCATTTCTTTGAGGTACATACTCCAAATTTAAATAACCTTGTCAAAGTACAGAAACAGTTTGATACCTCTTACTTTCCATTGCTGTATGTTACATTGCTCTCCCAAAAGTCTGAGTCAATTTACAGAGCACATTTATCTGTTTTCCACCTCTGCCTATAATTTAAATTATCATTTTTATGTCTTGTTTCCATTTTTAATTGCTACAGAGGTCGTACTTTAATCAAAAGCAGCTATAGTTTTTGTGAAAACATTGTAAATAAATACCTTATAATTACAAGGAATTTTGTAAGTATCCATTAAATTTAATTATTAATTAAGTTGAAGGTATTCATTAAATATCCACTGAATGACTAGATGTATTAAAATCATATGCAGTCACAAAAAGACAAATACTGCATGATTCCAATATTGCAACATACCCGGAGTAGTCAAATTCATAGGCAGAAAGTGGAAGGGTGTTGCCAGGGGCTAGGGTGAGGGGAAATGGGGAGTTGTTTAATGGGTATAGAGTTTCAGCTTTGCAAGATGGAAAGAGTTCTGGAGATTGGTTGCACAATGATATGAATGTACTGAACACTACTGTACTTAAAATTAAAAACGGTTAAGATAGTAAGTTTTATGTTACGTGTTCTTTACCACAATTATATGTGTGCGTGAGTATATATATATATAATTTTTTGTTTTTTCTTTTAACCCAGTGATCATTTGGCATATATTGTTGGCAAAAGTGTGCTACAATACATAGTCATGAATGCTAAGTGAAATTTCATGTGTGGAATTTTCTTGATTAAAATGACAGTGTTAATTATTTAATGCAGAAACAGACAGGCAGAGATGTATGATGTTAATGTCATTACATAGCAAACAGTAAGAAACATAGACTAAATAATATTATATGAACATTCAATATTAATAATAAAGTGCTTGACCTTAAAAAAATCATATGCATCTAGTTTTCTGTTATCTGTGAATAAAAAAAAGAGGCAGAGCTTAGGATTTTAGAGGTATCCACTTTAACTTTCCATCTCAAAGATGAGGTAATGAGACTAAAGCAGGCTAAGCGATTTTTCCACTTCAAGAGCAGCTACATCTGTCCCTTTTATAATGACGCCAGCCAACAACTCTTATGCTCATTGGCCAGAATGGATCACATGACCTCCCCTGGCTGCACCAGAGGCTGCTGGGAAAGCAGGGAAAGAATAGTTTAGACGCATTGCCACCACAAACAAATTAGGGTTCCCTGAACAAGAGAAGAAAAGGAGAATGGGTATTGGGTAGGAAACCATAAGTGTCTGCTACACTCACCTTAGTGTTTTTGTTTCTTTTGTTTTTTGGGGGGGTGTTACAGGCTGGAACCAATGGTTACATGGCTCCTGAAATCCTGGTGGAAAAGGTGGGTTATTCCTATCCTGTGGACTGGTTTGCGATGGGATGCAGTATTTATGAAATGATCGCTGGGCGAACACCATTCAAAGATTACAAGGAAAAGGTCAGTAAAGAGGATCTAAAGGAAAGAACTCTGAAAGAGGAGGTCAAATTCCAACATGATAACTTCACAGAGGAAGCAAAAGATATTTGCAGACTCTTCTTGGCTAAGCAACCAGAGCAACGCTTAGGAAGCAGGTAAACTACCGTATAATGGAGATGATTACTAATGTCAGCATTGTCCACAGGCATTTGAAAAACACTTTAGATTTGTGGCAGTCTTATTTATTTATTTTTTGGGTGGCTGACCGGTATGGGGATCCGAACATGTGACCTTGCTGTTATAAAGCTGTGCTCTAATCAACTGAGTTAACCAGCCAGTCTTGTGGCCATCTTAGAATTAAGTATTATTATTATTTGCATAATATATGGATAAATTTTTGATACTTTTGAACACTATGGGCACTTGATATGGAACAATCTCGAAGTATATTTTAAAGCTAAAAATGAGGTGCAAAAGAGCTTGCATAAAAAAAGAAGAAAAGGGCCGGCCCGGTGGCGCACTGGAGAGTGCGCCACTTGGGAGCGCGGCGGCGCTCCCGCCGAGGGTTCGGATCCCATGTGGAGACCGGTTCCCGCTCACTGGCTGAGCGCAGTGCGGGCGCAACACTGAGGGTTGCGATCCCATTGCCGGTCCCTGGTACGGGCGCTACACCGAGGGTTGCGATCCCGTTACCCGTCAGTAAAAAAAAAGACAAAAAGGAATAAAAAAAGAAGAAAAGAAGAATACATGATTCAAACAGTTGTTTAGGATATTTTAAGGAGAGTATACAAGGAATTTATAGGCTTGGTTGCCTCTGATGAAGGGAAATTGGGGGCTGATGACAGGAATGCAAATGAGGATTTTCACTATTGTCTTTTGAATTTCGAACCATATGCATGAATTATCTAATCAAAAATGATTAAAATAAAAACTTGTAAAAAAATTATTGGTACTGATGGTCATAGCTCTGGAAAATTCTGCCCCTTTCAAATATCTCCTATAAAATAGCATCAGTCATTCAACAGATATTTAGTGAGTACACAAGATGTTGCCAGCTATTAAGTACAGTTGAAATTAGTTTTGAGGAAAGCAGAGTTTTGTTCCTTACAATGGAATAATAAGATCAAAATATTTTGGAAGGGAAAATAAGTAAAAGTTGGCCTGTGAAAATATCCTTGGCAGTGGCTGACTGGCTATGTTATATAGGGCGAAAATTGAGGGCTTTAGATTCACAGACATGGATTCATGGCCCAACTCTGCTATGTAATGATCATTTTGCTTCAAGAGATGGAATTACTTTCTCTGAGTCTAAATATCCTCATATATGAAATGGGGGCAGGGGGCTGTGGATATGATGGTTAGTTAGTTTTATGTGTCAACTTGGCTAGGCCACAGTACCCAGATATTTGTCAAACATTATGCTAGATGTTTCTGTGCAGATTTTTAGATGAGACTTACATTTAAATGAGTAGACTTTGAGTAAAGCAGACTACCTTTCATAATGTGAGTGGGCCTCATCCAATCAGTTGAAGGCCTTAATAGAAAATGGGCTTCCAGTCAAGGTGGCAGAATAGACAGTCCTCAGTGTCACTGTCTCCCACAAATCAACCAATTTACAACTATTAAAAAGCAACAACAGCCAAGCGGGGGCTGCTAGAGCTCGGGGGAAGAGGAGGAGAGACCGACAGAGTGCATGAAGGTGGGAGAAGCCACAATGAGAGAAAGAAAGAACCGCTCTGACCATTTTGAGCCCTGGCCGCTTCCAGGCTGGAGCTGCTGAGTGCACAGAGCAGGAGCCAGCAAAAGCTGCAGCTGTGCCCTTTGGATGAAGTTGCTTGGAGGTGGAAGGGGAGAAGAGGGCCTTGGTGGCCCCCAGGCCAGCAAGACTACTAATAGGGTTCCTGTGGACCCACATAGGAGCGAGGAGCCAAAACAACTGAAAAAAGGAGCCACTCAGAGACCAGTAAGTCATCACAAGGGACCAGCACATGGCCCGTCCCAAGGGAAATGTTTAGAGCACAGGTGGTGGGGGAGATGGGCCCACTGGGAGAACACTGGAGCACAGCAAGGACAGCTCATCTACCCCCCAGTCAGTGTAGGACCACTCAGTGGAGACTGGTTGGGAATGTAGAACTTCAGAGGGTGCAGTTTGCTGAAAAGACTCAGGTCCAGAGCAGAATTTCTATACAACCCAGGTGCACCGGATCTCATGAGATCTGGAAGTACATATAAAGTCAACCATAAAACCTGAGCTGCACAAAAAGCCTTCCCTAGGGAATCAGTAGCAAAGCAGCAATTTATTTAGCTCAACCACAGAGCTCAAGTACTGGTCTCCACAGGAAGTTCCCCCATTTTAGAAGTAAGCAAAGGACTGTATAGTAAGTTCCCCCATTTTAGAAGTAAGCAAAGGACTGTATAGTAAGTTCCCCCATTTTAGAAGTAAGCAAAGGACTGTATAGTAAGTTCCCCCATTTTAGAAGTAAGCAAAGGACTGTATAGTAAGTTCCCCCATTTTAGAAGTAAGCAAAGGACTGTATAGTAAGTTCCCCCATTTTAGAAGTAAGCAAAGGACTGTATAGTAAGTTCCCCCATTTTAGAAGTAAGCAAAGGACTGTATAGTAAGTTCCCCCATTTTAGAAGTAAGCAAAGGACTGTATAGTAAGTTCCCCCATTTTAGAAGTAAGCAAAGGACTGTATAGTAAGTTCCCCCATTTTAGAAGTAAGCAAAGGACTGTATAGTAAGTTCCCCCATTTTAGAAGTAAGCAAAGGACTGTATAGTAAGTTCCCCCATTTTAGAAGTAAGCAAAGGACTGTATAGTAAGTTCCCCCATTTTAGAAGTAAGCAAAGGACTGTATAGTAAGTTCCCCCATTTTAGAAGTAAGCAAAGGACTGTATAGTAAGTTCCCCCATTTTAGAAGTAAGCAAAGGACTGTATAGTAAGTTCCCCCATTTTAGAAGTAAGCAAAGGACTGTATAGTAAGTTCCCCCATTTTAGAAGTAAGCAAAGGACTGTATAGTAAGTTCCCCCATTTTAGAAGTAAGCAAAGGACTGTATAGTAAGTTCCCCCATTTTAGAAGTAAGCAAAGGACTGTATAGTAAGTTCCCCCATTTTAGAAGTAAGCAAAGGACAACAAATTAGTTCCAGTGCAGAGTTTAAGTGATAGGAACAGCCAATAATCCAACACAGAACTGAAAGAAAAAATAAAATACCCACAACCAGAGAAAAACTTTGATATTAACTAGTGAAGGTCTCACATCAAAAAGAACACCTATAAAACCTAGAAGGACCAGAAGTCCCTGGGCTACCAAACCAGGGAGGGGGGGAGGGCTGGGGGCCTCAGCCATGTCCCCTGACACCTGCAACCAGCCCAGTGGCAACCACTGAACCATGGCAGGAAACAGCCGGGCTCTCCTGAGCAAGGGCAGTGGGGGGCTGCGGGCCTCCGCCACACCCCCCTGACATCTGCATCCAGCCCAGCAATAACCAAGGCACCGCTGGAAGCCTCCTGATCTCCCCTGCAGAAATGAGGGGGTAACATAGGCATCAACTCAGCCCCTCTTCCTTCCTCCTTCTGCCACCGTATTTCCTTCCCCTTCCCCTCTCCCTCCCCTCCAACTGCTCCATAACATCATAGAATGTAAAATATATATATATATATGTTAATAAATAAATAAACTTTAAAAAAAAGAAAGAAAATGACTGACCTCCCCAGAGGAAATGGGGATTCTGCTAACAGACCACCTTTGGGCTCCAACTGCAGCTCTTTCCTGGGACTCCAGCCTGCTGGCCTACCCTGAAGACTGTGGACTTGCCAAACCTCCACAATCACATGAGCCAGTTCCTTACAATAAATCCATCTCTCTCTCTACATATGTACATATATACATATACACACATTATTGTGGAGAAAAAATTTCCTCTACACTCTTATGTTCTTTATTTGGGGGCCTGCAGATTAAACTGACAAAACATAGATTAGTAAGAGAAAAGATAGGTTTTTATTCAGCTACATAGGTGGGAGTGCACAGAAAAATGTGACTAGGAGACAGAATTTGGGGCATATATATAACATCTTAGTAGAGGAAGGGGAGAGGGAGAAGGGCACGTAGGGGAAAACAAATGACTTCTTAAAGGGGGTGGGGTTGGGAGAGAGGTCACTTACAGGAAAACAAATGACATTTAGGAAAGATAAACGGATCCTTAGAAGAATAGATGGAAGGTATGATAGTTTCGCGATATGTCTGTTTAGGTGTGGTGCTGACTTCCTCTGTCTCCAGTGATAAGAGTTGATCTTCCTGGATCCTTAGAAGAATAGATGGAAGGTATGATAGTTTCGTGATATGTCTGTTTAGGTGTGGTGCTGACTTCCTCTGTCTCCAGTGATAAGAGTTGATCTTCCCTGTTTGTGAAACTCCTGGGGAGAGAATTTATGAAAGTTGAGTTCTTTTGGAAGACTCTGCTTTTAGGCAAATGGGGGAGTTCAGAACCTACATCTGCTGGATCTCAAATCCCTTCAGGTCAAAATAATGTTTATGTCACAGTGGCACATTCTGGACCCCTTCAACATCCTGTTGGTTCTGTTTCTCCGTAGAACCCATTTCTACTGAATTTCTAATATAGTAGAAATTTTGAAGTTTAGATATAATTTGTAAAGGTAGATATAATGTCTGTTAGGAATTATTCAATAAGTGATAGTAATTAATTTGTTTAAGGGAGATAGATAATATTTCTACTAAACTATTAGCTTGAATGTTTCAAATTACTTGGATTGAATTTTCAAAATCTAAAAATATATACATATACAAATATGAAATCTACAACCATAAAGTGGTATGACCAATTTTGAACATAACACCAGAATTTAGGCACCCAAATTACTCTAAATCTTCCAAGTAGTTGCCATTGAAGGCTCTAGAACAAGGCTGCCTGAGCTCAAAATGTGCAAAAATGGAGGCGAGCTCTGAATTTCTGACCTGATTTTTTTAAATAGCCAAACAAAATTTATTTGTAACAACTTTCAAAGCATGACAGATAACCAAGTTAGTATTTTGAAATTAGGTAGAACTCTACAGTACTTGGAAGTAAAATGTGGAACTGATTTTCCTGTATAGATTCCAACGTTTTAGTATTAGTAGGGTCAGAATAGGCTGT